GCAGCAGAGGGGGCGTCTTCGACATTTGTGGGGCCGCTGTGTTTGAGCTTTTTCCACAAGACTCTAGAGAAGGAATTGGGGCCACCGCAGGAAATCCCTAGGAGCAGATGCGGGTGCACAGCTGGAGCTGTTGGCCCCCCAGGCCCCAGGAAGCTTCCTGGCTGGAGGGGAGCCGTCATCTACGGTTTCCCTCAGGCCCCAGGTTCTAAAAAATTCCTTGAAGCACTTGGAGAGGCAAGTCTTCAGCCAGTCGCAGGTGATGGTTTTAGGCCCCTTGATAAAGTAGATGCACAGGGAAGCAGCAAGGTCTGGCCCTGCGCTGGGGGTGCAGCGATTGTCAGGGGTCCACTCCACGCCCATTAAGTTTGGGGGCCTGCCCTGCCCTTGCAGGCCTCAGGGCTCTCCTTTTTGCTAACCCGGAACGTTCCCGGTCTGCAGAGATGTAGGCCAAGTCAAAACACACATAATGTGCTTCTGAAGAGCAGAAAGTTCCGGGGGCTGGGGGCCTTTGCATCTCCCCGGGTCTGCTGTCGGGGGCCGGGACCCAGAGTCAGCAGAGGTCCTGAGGGCCACCCCAGGATGCAGTGGCTGAGACAGAAATAGGAGCTGGAGGAGCTTCTTCCAATCCCCTGGCTCTGCGAGTGTTGCTTGTCTTGACTCCCTGGAGAGGTGGCCAGAGGGCTGCAGGGGCCACAGCCACCGCAGGCCCAGCAGGGACACGGCAGCGGAGAGCACCCAGGTGGACGGGCCTGCAGCTGCTTTCCTCCTCGGCTTGCACAGTTTGCCATAAGATCTTTGCAGACTCTCATACCTCCCTCTCTGTTTTCTTCCTGGGACACGCACAGCAGAGAAGTCCAAGGTTTACGACCTGGAATTAAGATCTCCTACTTTTTTTTTTTTTTTTTTTAAGACATGGCACATAAAATTCAGCCCCTCTGGGGTCTCTGGCAGGTGACGCTGCAGCTGAAAGCTTTTCCTTTTGATGTTGGGCCAGGTTACACTCAGGCCCCTGACCTGGGGGGGGGGAGGGGTGCGCCGCTAGTAATTTGGTAAGTGGACACGGGCTGGTGAGATAATTCCTTGGGATTGGGATTCTTCAGCTCACCATCCCCATGCAGCCCTGACATGCCTGGACCCTTCTCCAAGACCCCCCAGAAGCGATGACCCATGCATGTCCACTGCTGGCAGATGGGTCCAGGAGAGCTGCGTTACCTACCCAGAGGCATGGCCCGAGCTGGTCACTCTGGGGCCTCTTGCGAGCCATTCCCCAGCCTGAGTTGCAGCCTCCCCACGTCTGCTGGGCATGCTCGGTCTTAAACTCTCAGGAAGCTGTACCAGGCCCACTTAAATCCTGCAAGGGTGGGGGCACCTGGGCTTGGATGGATCTGTTTGCAGCCCCCCCGGCCCCTGCTCCTCACTGGCCCGTGCACCCCTCTCCAGGGAAGGTTCAGTGTCTATGGCGTGTGTTCGTAGCCCAGAGAACAAGGGGGCGCTCTGGCTACCCCGGGAAACCAGGTGTGATGTGGGGGATTTCCGGAGCGAACTGGGTGCCCTGGGGGGGAGGTGTGGCAAGTGCACTTTGAAGAACATAGAAAAGGGCCGGAGCTTGGATGGGAGCCAGGCGGCCTGTGGCCAGCCCTGCTGCACTCCTGGAAGGCCGGCCAGGGGGGTCGTCACCCTGCCCCAGCGCCTTACCGGGCGGCCCCTCCGGACAGAGCGCCCTGGGTCCTCTTTCATCCCCAGCAGCCCTCTGAGGCAGTCGGGACCAGCAGGGGACAGCGGGACTTTAACCAGGTCCCCTCCCCCAGTGCCCACCACACCTGCCTGGGGCTGGTCATGGACGGCTTAGAAATGGGCTCTGCAGGACTTGGAGGGAAAGGGGGGCCAGCAGAGCTCACCCTCACCCCTCACCCTGAGGTGGAGGCAAAGAGGGGGGCCCTGGCTCCCGAGACCAGGACAGCCATGGAGCTACCCCACAGCCCCATGGCGGGGAGGCCTTGTCCCTGCTGGCTGCTCTGGAGGGAGGACGGGCCAGTGTGTGGAATTGAAGGAAGAGGCCTCTGTCCGGGGGCTGATGACCTGGGGGTGTCCCTACTGTTTGCCCCTTGGGGGAGCTGTCTCCCCTCACTCCTTGCACGTAACCTCCAGTCCAGCCCCACCCCAGCCGGTTCTAACTTGGCCCTTTTGTGATTGTCGCAGATGCCTGGGCCCAGTGCAGCCTGCTCCGGAGCCAGGGCGGCTGCTCTGAGGGGCAGAACCCTATGTGTCTCTGCTGGCGGGTCCCACCTGATGCCCCAGAGCCTGTGAGGGACCCTGGGGGGATTGCCGTCATGAACCCCAGACCCACGGGAGAGAGGGCTGTCAGAACGCACCTTTCTTTGAAGTTCAAGAACCCCAGTGTTGCCCTTGGCGTGGGCATCAGAGGCAAGGGTACAACACAATTTGTGCAGCTGTCCTGCCCTAAGCCCGGCTGACCTCTTGTCTTCCAGCCCCTACCCACCCTGTCAGCTGCACCCCAACCCACAGCCCCTTGAAACCAGTGTGGAAAGTGGCTTACCGGCTTCCTGGCTGGTGGGGGGCTCTCAGAATTGCAGGTGGGGTCCTCAGGGACATGGAAGCCCCCACAAGGTGCTGTGTTCCCTGCTGTGTTCTTCTGCCCTCGCGGCTGGTGGGGGGAATTGTGGGTGCACCAAGACGGATGGTGGCACTGCCTTCAGCTGCAGGGCTGGATTTGAATCCGGCCGCGGCCTCTTGCTCACAGCTTTGTGAGTCTGCTTGCGCCCTGGCACACGCAAGCAGGCGAGCCCTGCAGAGCCATCGCTGTGACGTCTGTCCCTGCCGTCCCCGGCAGCTCTCAGAGGACTGAGGCCAGCGCAGCCCCTCTCCCCTCGCTTGTGGCCTGGTGAGGGGGCAACCCAGGCCCAGGGCTAGCAGTGTCGTTGATTCAGGCAAACTGATAGAGGCTCTTGGAGCTCTTGGTGGACTTGACAGGCCTTTACTGCTGAAGCAGGGGACCAGATACAGGCAGACCAGCAGGCAGGGGCCGGGGCCCGGGAGGCAGGCCGCAACCGGGCCTCCCAGCCCCATCACCTCTGTGCGCTCTCTCCAGCTTCTCTTGATTTTCATCCGGGCATCTGTACTAATAGGTTCACACCCCCGTGCTCGCCAGCTTCTTGGCCCGGGTGTCCGTGATTACAGGTGCGTGTACTCCGTGCTCACGCTCCTCGGCCCAGGGGTCGGTCATCATAGGTGTACGTGCTCGGTGCTCACGTTCCCAAGCGCTTTTCTACAACACGTGGGTGATGAAACCTTGGAGGGAAACAAGAATGCAGGTGGCAGCCACAGAGGCCAGCGGCGGGGCGAGGAAGCCTGAGTGACTCCACTTTCCCTGCATCTGGTGATAAATGGACAGGGCTGGCAGGCAGCAGGTGACGGGCACTGAGGGAGGGGGTACCCCGGCACTGACTCAGGGAGACCACGTGAGGGATCCCACCCAGTACTTGGGGTCAGCACCATTATACCCCTAAGCTGTTCCACGATGTCAGCAGACTTCAACTTAAAGCAATTAGAAAGGAAAGTCGGCGGTTCTGCCGTCCAGTCTTGTAATTTAAGTAAATCTGTAACTTACCAAATTAACAGTGTTAGCCCAGATGCCACCTGTTAGCTGCATTTCACATAGATCGAGTTAGGGAGAAAACCTGGATTTTAGGGAGAAGGCTGACTCCCTGGGGCACAAGTGTGTGACTTGCACAGGTCAGCTCAGCTCTCCAGGGGCACGGTGCTCACACCCCTGCACAGGGGGGAATGCGCCATAAAATGGGTCTTCCGGGCCCAGGTGCTCCATGAAGTAGATTATCCAGGCCCCAGGTGCTCAGGGCACAGGGCTCACCCCTACCACCGCCAGCCTGGCTCTCGTCAGCCTGCCAGCACGTTCTTCTGCCCCTGGTTTTATTCACAACTTCACTTTATAGGTGAACATTACACACCAGAGAAGCAGATGAACAGACTGACTTTTGCAAGGTCACAGCCAGATTAGCAGTGCAGCCCTCCCTGCTGGTCTGCCCGCCCTTTTGCTCCTGAAGCCTGTATAGGAGTGTCCCTCTTGCAGCCAGTCCACAGGCCTGGCCACCTGTCACTGCAGGCTGTGAGGAAGTTATCTGGAAGGCCAGGAAAGGGCAGGTTCTGCATATCCAGGTACAAGATTCAGATGTGCTTAAGTCGTGGTTCTCAGCCAAGGTCAATGGTAACTAATTGTCACTGAGAAAAAATTTTTAAAAAAAGAGAGAGAGAGAGTGTGTGTGTGTGTGTGTGTGTGTGTGTGTGTGTGTGTGTGTGTGCAGATTCAGAGTTATCACTCAGTTGCTTCCCAGCTTGCTTACCAGAGCGAGACAGACAGCCTCCCAGAGGGAGACTTACTCCAAGGACGAGGCAGTGGGAAGCAGACGCCCTGAGCGGTGCTGATAGCTATAACCCAGCAGCAGTCGTGAGCTTATGCTGAAGGGCAGTGTGTTAGATCTTGAGCCCACCCAGCAACTCATCCAGCAGGTGCTGTTACCCGCTTTCTCGCGGGTACGGCAAGGCACAGAGATGTCATTTGCACAGGGCCACAAGGTAGCAGACCACCAGACACATGGTGAACTGTGGGGCTTCATTCTCTGCCAGATCGCTGTTGCTTTTGCCAAAATCATCCAGGGCAGCTGTGGAAGTGTCAGCAGAGGTCAGGGGCGCAGGGAGGGGGCTGTGTGCCCAGGGCACTGCCAGGCTGGTGGGGAGGGGCCGCTTTGAGCCTGACCTAGCCACCTGGGGTCCTGATGGGCTGCACAGGATAATCTAGAAGGTCAGCAAGGGCTGCTTCTGCATTTACTACTTCCTGCGGGAAATATCCCTTCTGCACCCCCACCCGCATCGGCACTGGGCGTGCCAGGTGCTGCTGTCTCCATTGGGGAGTCCTGGTGCTGGACCCCAGGGCCGCCCTGATGGCATGTGGTCTCTCTCCACAGCCACCTCCCCGTGCAAGATCCTCAAGTGCAACTCTGAGTTCTGGAGCGCCACGGCGGGCAGCCACTCCCCAGCCGCCGACGATACCCCCGAGTTCTGCGCGGCGCTGCGCACCTACGCGCTGTGCACACGGCGCACGGCCCGCACCTGCCGGGGCGACCTGGCCTACCACTCGGCGGTCCATGGCATCGAGGACCTCATGAGCCAGCACAACTGCTCCAAGGATGGCCCCACGTCCCAGCCGCGTCTGCGCACGCTGCCACCGCCGCCCGGGGACAGCCAGGAGCGCTCCGACAGCCCCGAGATCTGCCACTACGAGCGGAGCTTCCACAAGCACTCGGCCGCGCCCAACTACACGCACTGCGGCCTCTTCGGGGACCCGCACCTCCGGACGTTCACAGACAGCTTCCAGACCTGCAAGGTGCAAGGTGCCTGGCCACTCATCGACAATAATTACCTGAACGTGCAGGTCACCAACACACCTGTGCTACCCGGCTCTGCCGCCACCGCCACCAGCAAGGTAAGGGTGAGTGTGAAAGGGGTGGGGTCGCCCCACCCTACTGTCTCCAGGTCCCACGCTCAGCCTCTGCCCCCATGGAACCCAGATGCTTACATTCACTAAATATGCAGGATATTTGAAAGGAATGTTCTGGAGATTGAGGAAAGTGCACCGGGACCCACTTCTGCATGTTGCTTAAATTCTAGACCACACCCTTTGGGAAATCGGCCTTCTGGGCTGAGGAGCTGGCACGCACCCATGGTGACTTTCTGTGGCTGGGCAGGCGGAGCCGGGGAGGGAGAACAGGGCGTGACTCAGCGGGTGGGGAGGGCGCTGTGCACCCAACGCCGGAGCCCGGTCTCAGGAGCCAGGTTTCTGCTGGGTGTGTGTGCACGCGTGTGTGGTCCCTAGGCACACCTGTGTGCCCTGGGTCCAGGCGTGACGGATGTAAAATGAACTTCTTGCTGAGGTTATGGTCCAAAGTTTAGACGCTCCATGTCAAGCTTTCGGGGCGTTCTTTTCTTGCCGCCCAGCTACATCTGGGCGGGGCCCCGGTAGTCAGAGCAGTGAGCGGGAGCCTCCGACGGCGGGTAGTTTCCATCACTGCCCTCAGGAGCTCACTGTCCGGTAAACCTGCCCGGGGCGGGTGGACTCTGCAGCCTCCTGGGGGTGGCGGGCCCACCGGGGGGTTCTCTGTGTCTTCACATAGACAAACTGTCCATCAGTAGAATTCGGGGCACAGTGATTCTGGGCCCCCGGAGCCTGGTCTGACACCAGACCTCTGGGTGGGATCAAACAGGTTCTTTTTTAAAGCTGTCTGGGGTTCTGGCGCATGGCGGGGTGGGGGGTGAGGAGGGTATAGGGGATGCAGCACCCAGGGCCGGGGCCAAGAGGTGGTGGTGGGGCACCTGGGTTGGTGGGGACTGTCCTGCCCTTTGTCTCATCCCACACCTACACTGAGGGGCCCTGGTGGGCCCTGGGGGAGTAGAAGCAGGTCCAGAGCGTGGGGCCACCCATGCAGCCTCTCCCTCTGGCCGCGCTGTCCCCCCCAGGGCAGCCCTTCCTCGACACATTCGGAAGCACACAGCGAAGTGCCTCCCACCCAGAGGCAGTGGCCGAGAGCACAGGTGGTTGTGACCGGGGCCGGGCCACAGAGCCTGCCCTGTCCTCACCGCCAGGTGAGGCTGTTCCATTTGGGGCTCATCTCCCTGCTCAGCGAGACCTCAGCCTGGGCGATTGGAGTCAGGTCCTGTCACAGGGCCACGGCCAGAGCAGCCACAACGTGGCTCGTGTCCCAGCCACCCCGGACTCTCCCTGCCCTCCCCACGTCCAGGAAGGTCCCCCGGGACCTGGTATTCAGACTCAGCCAAAGGACACGGCCTCCGGGCAGGGCGCCCTCCAAGTCCAGGCCCCTGGGGCACGGATCTGGCCCCCTCGGGTTTCTGGGTTGGCAGTGGGGCTGTTGTCCTGGGAAGAGCAGGTTGCCGGGCAGTGGGTTAGGCAGCGCCAGGCTGCCCACAAGGGCGTTTCTGTCCCTCCTGCCCCTCCACACCCCAGAGGCGCACAGTGAAGTGACCTGACAGCCAGGAAAACTCAGCCCCTCCCCTCTGCTCTGGGGCCCTGGTTTGTCCCCTGGGTGCCCTTACAAGCCCGTGGCACCTGACTGAGAAGCCTAGTGGGCAGCAGAATTGTTGCAGGTGCCCCACAACCCACCCTCGTGGACCCCTCACTTAACTACCTCCCTTCCGAGACTCAAGAAAAGGGAAGTCCAGGAGCCTGAAGCAGTAGCTTCTAGATCCAGCCACATACCCAGAGCAGGAGGGGACCCTTCCCTGTCCCAGCTTGGCAGGGGCACACGGGGAGTTGAGGGGTGAGCGGGACAGAGACCTTTGGGGGCTGCCCCACCCTCCCCAGGGTGGTGCATGTCCCACGTGTGACGAGAGCCACACACAGACCTGGAGAATCACGCTGTGACCAGCGAGGGAGGAGGCCACCCCCACTGATGGAGTGAGGCGGAGCCTTCAGCCACCCCTGTTGGGTGGGCAGACTGGCTCCACGTGGCCGCGTGGACACTGGCACCTTGAGGCCAGGCATCTGTCCAAAACGCAAATACTTTAATTGAGCCTTTCATTCCTCCCTTCTTTCTGGCATCCCATTCGATCAGCGTGTTTTTCGAACGCCTGCCCAGCTCCCTGGGCACTGTGGGCAGCGGAGCAGCCTGGCGGGGATGGCAGCACCTCCCTCCGTGGCCCTGTGTGCACTTTCCAGAAGGGTCTGGAGTGCTGTAGCAGAGACCGCCCAGCCCCTTTCTGCTGTGGCAGACCCCCAGCCCCCCACCCCGCCCCAGCAGGCAGAGAGCCCCGTGGCCTCTGTTCTAGCCCAGCTGCCGGATACGGCGCGAGCTCTGCCCAGGGCCCGGCGGGGACAGGATCAGGGCCAGTGGCCGAGCCAGGCCAGCCTCGGGACTCGGGCAGCCGGGGACCTATGGCTCCCTGCTGAGCAACATCCCCTTGGGTTGCCCCTGCCTGCTGGCTTCGGCCTCCAAGGCTCGGGTGTGTTTGCTCGTTCTTGGACCCGGCAGTTTCGAAACCTCCTTGCTCAGCTTCCCCCCTCCCTGCAGCCCCCAGGCTACCCGTGGGAACAAAGACCAGCCCAGGGTGTTGGGGGAGCGGGGTGCTCGGGGTCCTGGGACCCCGGCTCGGCCTAGAGCACTGGACAAGGCCTCCTTCAGCTACCGCTGCTGAGGTTGCCCCCAGGGGATGGGAAGAAGAAAGGAAGAGATGGCTGGACTCAGCGTCCCCTCCCTGGCTGCACCCGAGCCCCTTCCTGTTACCTACAGAATTCACGTCTTGGGCTGCACCCCAGGATGTGGGCTCCCTGAGGCCAGGCCTCTGGGCCTGTTTCTTTCCCTGGCATGGAGACAGCGGCTGGCACATGCTTGCCCTCCGTAGAGCGGGGGTGAGGCCCTGACCCAGTGGTGGACAGGGCCTCGGCCCCCATGGGTGGGGGAGACAGGAGCAGCAGCCCCACTGCGGCTGTGCTGGCAGCCGGCCGCCCGGCTTTCGACAGGCCCCCTTCATGCCGTTACTTGTGGTTGAGGCCCTGGCACGGGTGCCAGGAAGAGTCAGACCGCCTGTCAGCCCTTCCAGGAGGCTGTCTCCACGGGAGGGCGGGAGCGCCGAACCCGCCTTTCCTGTTCCAGGGAGTCTGATGGCACTTGGAAAGCAGCCCCCCAGTGTCTGTGTGGCCCTGCACACCCGCCAGGGACACCCGAGTCCCTCATCCACCGCCCCGCCCCCATACAGGACCACCCACTGCCCAGACCACCCGCAGGCGCCCAGCTCCGGGGCACAGGAGGCCTGGCCAGAGGAGGCCGCTGCTTTCCTAGGTCACCCTGGACACCCGGCCCCTGTGTCCACAGGGCCCCCCATCCCAGCCGTACCTGGGGCTGATGGACATGGAGGTGGCACGGTCTGCTGTCTTCACGGGACAAGAGGGGGCACTGGCATCCCGAAGACCAAGCGTGGAGGCCAACCGCTCGCAGCCTCCGGTCTGTGCCCCCGGCCACCCGGGAGCAGCAGCAGCAGCAGACACGCTCCGCAGCCTGTGGCCTGGCCCCAGACCCGCCCTGGGCCTCACGCAGCCACAGCACTGCCCCCACTGCTGGGCCGAGGTCCCCGCCTTGCCTTCCATGTCAGTCGCTTTGGGTCCTTGTCTCTAGTCCATCCGGGCCTTGCCCTTGTCACACACCCGCTGCAGGCCTGAGGCTCCCTCTCGGCACTGCCCTCAGCCTGAGAATCTTAACGGGGGGTTGAATCGCCTATGACGGTGGGTGAAGACCTTTCATTCTTCATTAGCTGCCTTTCTTTTAGGGTTCACCCCCACATGTAGTAAAGGAGAGCTGAGCTGGGTCCCTTTCGGTGACAGTTTTTAAGTCAAGAGAAACATGGCTTCATAGTGACGGTGGAGCTGAACATGGACCAAAATGGGGAAGGGACCGTCAGGGGGCATCGGGGGGCTCTTCCAGCCCCTCCTCTCAGCCCCGGGGGCTGGGCCTGCACCCCCACCATCACTCACCCCCTCTCTGTCCCTTCCTCTCCAGCTCACCATCATCTTCAAGAACTTCCAGGAGTGTGTGGACCAGAAGGTCTACCAGGCCGAGATGGACGAGCTGCCGGCCGCCTTCGCCGACGGCTCCAAGAACGGCGGGGACAAGCACGGGGCCAACAGCCTGAAGATCACGGAGAAGGTGTCGGGCCAGCACGTGGAGATCCAGGCCAAGTACATCGGCACCACCATCGTGGTCCGCCAGGTGGGCCGCTACCTGACTTTCGCCGTGCGCATGCCCGAGGAGGTGGTCAACGCCGTCGAGGACCGGGACAGCCAGGGCCTCTACCTGTGCCTGCGCGGCTGCCCCCTCAACCAGCAGATCGACTTCCAGGCCTTTCACGCCAACGCCGAGGGCCCCGGAGGCCGCAGGCCCCCGGCGGCCGCCAGCCCCGTCCCCACGGCCCCCGACACCTTCCCCTACGAGACGGCCGTGGCCAAGTGCAAGGAGAAGCTGCCGGTGGAGGACCTGTACTACCAGGCGTGCGTCTTCGACCTGCTCACCACCGGGGACGTGAACTTCACGCTGGCGGCCTACTACGCACTGGAGGACGTCAAGATGCTCCACTCCAACAAGGACAAGCTGCATCTGTACGAGAGGACTCAGGAGCCCCCGGGCCGGGCCGCAGCTTCCAGGCCACCCCCGGTGCCCCGGCCCCTGCTGGGCGGGCTCCTGCTCCTCACCTTGCTCCCCGCCTTCCTGGCGGCCCTGGCCGCGTAGGGCAGAGAGCTGGGCGCACAGCCTGTCCCTGAACCCCGGGTCCCCGCTGGCGTCAGGAGGTGACCACTGGCCGGCGGGCATTGGGACTTTACCTCAGAGCTGCCTTGGGCTGATGGCCCAGGGCTGGGGTGTGCGGGCGCCCCTCGCCTGCTCTGGGGCCTCTGACAGGTTGTGGTGACTAGTGCTGTGATGTTGGTGGAACTAGCCGGCCCCGCTGTGTGAATGTGCAAAGCAGCCCCTCAGGCCGCAGCCCCCGCCCCGCCAGGGACACTGGGAGTGGTTGGGTCCAGCCCCCGCCCCTACCATGCACTGAAAAGGCCACCAGGCCAGCACCTGCCCACCGGCCGCGCGCGCGCACACTTACACGAGCACACTCGCACACACCACGCCTGCAGGGCCAGCCGGCCACAAGGCTGGGCCCAGCCCAGGTCTCCTTACCCCTGGGGCTTCGGGACACCCGCAGGGCGGCCGGGCATCTTCCAGAAGTCGATGTAACCCTTTGGCCAAAAGGTGCCCTCCTGGTGCCTTGCTGCCCGGGGCCTCCGTGGGGGCCAAGGAAAGGCCATCGTGCGCACCCCAGCTGCTGTGGCACGGGTTCGGAGCTCAGGCCAGCACCCCACAGCTGGGGACCATGCATGTTGGCGCGTGGTCTGAACAATGCCACTCGTGGGGCCAGGCGCCCTCTCGGGCTCCTTCCCCACCCCCATTCCCCACTGAGCTTAGGAAGTCAAGTCCTCGTGTCTAAATGTCTAAACAGAAGCGACCCCGTGACCTCTGTCCCTTCCTTTCGGGCAGGGCCCTGAGCCAGGGAGTGTGGGCCGCAGGGCCTGGCAGGAGACCAGTGGACGGGGCCAGCTGGCCTGCCCTGATCCTCTGCTCTCTCCCCACTCCTGTCCCGAGCCTCCTGCCTCTCCCTCACCCATGTCTGCATTCTGGGGAGAGCAGTGGGGTCTAGAAGGCCTGAGCACCCCTGGCCCAGTCCCTTCTTCACATCCTGAGACCGCACAGCCAGGAGACAATTGCTACTGGTTGCTGCTCCTGTCCCCCGCTGGCCCAGGCTGCCTGACCGTGGAGCCCCAAACTAGCCCCACGTGTGCTGCTGGTGCAGGGGCTCCCCCCACCCCACCCCACCCTGAGGGAGCAGCACCCAAAGGTGCAGCCCCAGCAGGCCATCCTCCCAGAAGCCCTGCCGCCCCGCGCTATCCTTCCTGCCCATCGGGCAGCCCCTCTGTTGTCCCCAGGGACCTCTCATACACTGGCCCGGGAGGCTGCGGACTTGTCCGGCCTCCCCCTCCACGAGGTCCCCTCTGCCGAACCACGGGTGGGTGGGTGGGTGGGTGGGCGGGGCGCGGCCCAGCCCCCCTGCTGGTGTAGATGGCCCCAACGTTGGAAGTACAAAGTGAAGCACTTTATTTTGGTTGTGTTTGATTGCGTTCTGCTTGGAAGTGGGGACCCCTCACTGCGTCCTCTGTCTGCGACCTGTGGGGAACGTCACCCTGTACATACTGTAAATTATTTATTATTGGCTAAATGCAAGTAAAGTTTGGGGTTTTTTTTGTTTTGTTATTTTCTTTGGGCCTCTGTCGTGGAGTTTTTTTTCCTGAGCAGACTTGGGTGCCATGGGGGGAGGGAGGGGGTATTTGAGGGTCGCCTCTGGGCAATCCCTGGGTGGGTGGGTGGGTGGGTGGGTGGGGTGTGTGTGTGTGTGTGTGTGTGTGTGTGTGAGTGTGTGTGTGTGTGGAAGGCTGTGGCGGCAGCAGAGACAGCCCTGCGCCACTAAGATTGCTTTTTCTCCTTCCAAGACCTCCCAGGGCCTAGGGGTCCAGGTTCCTTTGCTCTTGCAAAGCTGTGAACAAGGTCTTGGGTCTCGGTCACAGCTGGACACTGGTGGGCACCTAGTGCCCTCTGGGATGAGGCGTGGCCAGCCCGAGGCCCAGGGACTTCATCTCAGCCGCCGACTGCAGTGGCCCCAGGCCTGGGACTCACTGCCACCCCCTCCGCAGCCTCCCTCTGGCACACGGCCCGGGCGAGCATGGTGCTGCTTCAAGGAGGCCGCCCTGTGGGGGAGAGTGAGGAGGACCACGGCTGCAACGGTCCATCGTCACATTCATCTTCAAAACAGTGAGTTAGGAACAGATTCACCCCAGTTCACAGGTGGAAAAGGGACTCAGGTGAGCTGACTCGCCCCGCGCTGGTCCGCGAGGTCAGGGCTGCGATGGACACCTGGACACCTGGAGGGGGGTGCCCGCCCTCCCTGCTCTTCGCGCCAAGTGCCACAGGCAAAGCCTCCAGGTGGAGCCCCCTCCGTCCCAGCCCCGCCACTTCCCCAGCTGTGTAGCCGCGGGCAAACCACCGAGCCTTTCCGAGCCTCCGTCCCCTCCTCTAAACCGGGAACGGGTGCTTGAATTCCCTGAGAGCGCTGAGCAGGGGGCCTGGCGTGCCGTGAGCATCCAGCGCAGGCTTGGTGTTCTTATTCCATAGCAAGAGGGGCCGAGAGGAAGCCCGGGGTGCGGGGGAGGGCGAGGGCCACACGGTCCCAGGAAGCTCAGGAGGGAGGTGAACTGAAGGGCGAGGAGTCCAGAGAGGGAGCATTAGCAGCATCCCCTAAGAGGGCCAGAAACTAGGAAGAACTTTCTAGAACCTTAAACACAGTCTCCCAGAGAGGAGCAGGAGTCTGGGCCGTGGGGGGAAGAAACCAGACTGGGACACGCCACGCATCTTGCTGCCTGGTCAGCCTGTGGGTGCCGCTGGCCTGCCCCGTGGTAATGGACGGACTGCCTGGTGGGGAGGCACCCCAGGGCCTGGGCCGTGGAAGAACTGACCCCTGGGGAGCCGGGGTGCACGAAAGGAAAACAGCCTCATCTGCACCAGTGGAAATGCCACGGCACTGATCAGAAAACACTTGTCAGGGCCCTAACGAGCAGCTGGAATCCTCGTCTGCGTCCCAGGAGCCTGGTGTGCAGTGAACACAGAGACTGCCTTTCTCACCGTGAACATGGCGCACAGGCCTGAGCCAACATGGTGCCCATGAAGCCACTTGGTCTTGCACCGCCATGGGTTGGGTTTGTAGCACACGTCCTGGTGCCGGCTTAGGGAGGCCTGTCAGCCTAGAGGTTAATGCATGAGCAGATGGGGGTGCAGGCACCACCCCCTCAGGCTCCTGTGTGGTACCACCACTTGCAGTTCTTGTTTGGCGACCCAGGATTTGCAAGGATAGATAAAAGACTGCAGAGAAAGGGCAATTCAAGCAAATAAAGGAGAGTCACTTCCAAGGGAGAGGGGGGCGCATCTGGGGAAGAAAGTAATTTCCAGAACACTCGGGCAGAGACCCACCCAGCCAGGCTCATCAGCGGGATGCCAGCTAGCAGGGCCCTGGGTCTTGGGCGGCAAGCCGACTTGGCGGGCAGACTGCCTCTGCCCGACGCTCGCTGTGTGGTCTCGCTTGGATTTTTGGAGCCTTAGATGCCTTATTTGTAAAATGGGGCTGTGCGCACCTACCTCCCAAGGCCACTGGAAACCCAGTGAGCTCATGCTCAGCGCCGCCCCCCACCTGGGCCTGGCAGTCCTGCTCGGCGACAGGGCGCCTGGTGGTCACTTGGGCTGGGGGGGAAGGGCAGAGAGCCACACGGGGCCCTGGCATGCGCTGGGGGAGACAGGTCAATAAAAAGTCATGTTGTAGAATGCTCCTTGGTGCCAAGCCCCACCCTGGAGGAGGGGAAGCAGATTAAAGGTTCAGGGAGAGACAGACTCACCCCGGGTCCGGGAGGGTAGGGAGGAGCTTTCATCTCTGAACTCAGAGCTTGACGGGAATTTTGGGAACAAGCCATGCAAAGATGAGGGAGAATGTTCTAGACAGAGAGGACAGTCAACGCGAAGGCCCTGGAGACAGCAGCCAAGAGTAAAGGGCGCAGGAAGCAATGTGGCCGATGCCGAATGGACAGTCCAGCGCCCAAGGTGAGGCCGCAGTGCCACTGAGGCACTGGCCGGGAGGACTTCCTGCTTTGCTCCAGGGCCACAGCAAGCAGACGGCAGCTTTGTGCGTGGGAGTGGCAATTGTCTGACTTGGGGCTTCAAAGGGATGGCTCCGGCTGGTGTAAGAAGCAAACAGGGGGACCCCTGGGGAGAGAGGAACCAGGAGCGCTGGGGCAGCAATGCCCCCTGGTTGGAATGGTGGACTGGGGTTCAGCCAGCAGGTGGGCGGGGTGGGAAGACGCCACCTGTGGGGCTGAGCGCCTGGTAAACCTCGGTGCCTTTTCCTGGGAGCTCCACAGAGGACGGGTTGGGGGCGCTGCCATCACAGCGTGGCTTGGGGACACCTGAAAGCACACACAGCTCGACCGTTCTCAGTGTGGAAATCTAAAGGCTGCAAACTTCCCAGAGCACCTGGCACGGAGCGGCACGCTCGTAGCGCGAACTTCCCAAATAGAGGGATGTAGAGCGCGCATTGTAGGGGAGAAGCCTGGTTGGTGAGAAGACAGGAGAGCGAGCTCCCCTGCTTGTCCCGTGGGGGCTGAAACCCCAGAAGGCCCCAGATCTGCCCAGGCCCCCAACCCCTCCGGCTTGTGGCAACAATTTCACTAAGTTGGGTTTTACAGCCAGTGACCAAAGTTCTGATCCGGACGAGGACAATGACTAACATTTGAATAAAGGAACCCAGGGTGGGGCATCACGAACCCCCCCAGCTGCCAGGTGAGGAGCTGGTGGGGCCCTCCCTACCCCCAGCCACTCGCCTGCTGGCGGCGGGGAACCTCAGTTTCCTCGTCTCGTGATGGCGGTGGATCCGCCGCCAGGGCTGACGGAGAAGCCGCAGGAAGAGAGCAACGGAAGGAAGAGGCAAGCCCCCAGACACCCAGCCAGCGGGGGCCCTGCCCCCCACTTCCCAGGCCAGGTCCCCCACCTTGGGTTGGCCCAGCCAGTTCCATGGCCTCTCCGGGCCCGGCAGCCCCTGCCCCTTGCTGCGGGTGGCCAGATGACAGAGAAGGGCCCCCTGAGGCAAAGGCCTGATCCCAGCCTCGCAGGCCTGCGTCCTCCTCAGACATTTGGGGTGGACACCCAGCTTTGGTCACCGTCCCTCTCCGTGTGCTGACCTCTTAGGTCCAGAAATCACATCTCTGGAACGATGGGCCTTAATTGTCCACAGAGAGCAACTGAAGACTCTTCATGCAGCTCCCTCTTGGGCTGAAAAAGCCTGGTGTTGCATCCAGGGGCCCACAGGAGCCCCCTTCCCAAATCAGGAGTCCAGGGGTCGTCCATCATCCCAGGGAACCATCACCTCCTGAGTCTGCGGGGCCCTCGGCCGCCGCCCAGTGCTGGTGCCCATCCTGCCTGTGCTATGGGCTTAGGCCCCGGGCCTGGAGGAGAGGGGCGGAGATGAGCACGCCCCGTAAGTCCCTGCGGGATGGCTCACCTCGGGGACCGCAGCAGGCAGAGACTGTGTGGGTCCCCCACGTGTCCCTCATGGTCTAGATTTGGGGGGCCTGCTCATTTCCTCAACACATATGTAAGGCAGCCCTGGGGTGTGTCGGGCTCTTGGGGGACACAGCAGTCATGCAGGAGGTGAATGTGGCCTTCCCCCCGGACTGACTTTGTGGGGTGAGAGGCCACCAGCGCAGTTCTGTGGGGTGTCCGCAGAGCAGGAAGGGGATGCCGGAGGATGCCCCTCAACTGAAAAATGGGATCAGTCCAAGCTCATAGCGACTCCTGGGACTGCATGCGCAAGGGGGTGGGGGCTGGGCTCTCAGCCCCGCAGCTGTCACTCACAGGTCGGGGTCACCCTGGGCTCAGGGCTCCCTAAGGGGAATAACAGGACGCTCCCTGGGGCTGGGGTTGATTTTATGAATCATGAGGCTCGACATAAACGTGCAGTCACAGCGCCTTTCAACTCGAGAATCAAGACACATTTTCTAATTAAGGTCAAAAGGAACTGCAAACCTCATAAAACTCAACCAACAGCTTCCATTTAAAGCCTTGGCTGCACCAGGGCCGGCGTGTCTGCGTTCGCTCTCCCGGGGAAACCTGTTGGCCCGCCCTTCCACCACCCCACACACCAGGGGTTTCCCCACCCTTCACCCCACACACCAGGGGACGAGGCCCCTGCGCAAACCTCAGGCCCTGGCTCCCTCTCACCCTTCCGGATAATCCAGGATTTGCTTACATGGATGTAAAAAGGTCTTACAACCTTTGAAAACTCAAAAACATTTCATTCTTCCAGAGGCCCTAAGGGCCCCCTCCCAGCGGACACTGTGGGCCCCAAGTTTGGGCAGCACAGAAGCAGCACACAGGTAGATGGGCTGAGACTGCACCGAAGGAAGCGGCGGA